AAACAATGCAAATCTAGCAATTCTTTTTTCATGTCTACTACTGTGCATTCTTTGTATTAGACCATTTGTTCTTCGTAACCTAAAGTATATATAAATATTGTTCTTACATGAAGGCCTTTAGTGAACCTTTTATGCAAGATAAACAGACAAATTACACTTCAGTCTGACCTGACATCCTCATGCAGAAGGAAAACTGCATTCTATGCTTATTTTCTTATTTGTAACAATGGTTCATCAGAATTTCCTCAGTCTTCATAACATCATAAATTTAACTTTAAATAAACTAATCTCTGAAAGACAGACATATAGTCCCAGCTTTGAAGAAGTACCACAGACTATTCAAAACTTTCAGAAGTTTTATTCAACTGGTTTGGCAGAGGTGGGGAGGGGGGTGTTGAGTCTGCAAAAATGTTCATAACTTCTCAGGATTGAACTGATAAAAATCTCTCCTGCAGCAGAGAAAGTTACCAATCAGAGAATAAAACACTACCTTTCAGTAGCTCTAAGGTAAACATATCTGTTACTAATTTCCCTGTTACTTTACCCTATCAGCAATGCATAGTTCCTACCTATTTTGCCAGTATCTGTAGCAGAACAATAAACGAAGCCTGGGAAAGTTAGCAAGATGACAAACATGGGTTATATACATAGACACAGTAATTTATAAATCCAAAGAACAATTCTACTAGATTAATTATTTTTTAGTGTTTGAACAACATGTGCCATTGTCATAAACTATAAGTACAGCTGGCTAGAAAACAAATCCTGCTAAACATTGTGGCTTCCCAGTAAGAGACCAAACAGACAGAAAATCTGTCTGGAAGTTCTACCACAATGCTAGATGGCAACTGTAGTTGGGTACGACAAACATATCTTCTTATCTTTGGGTGTGTTCCTTGGCCAAACTACAACTCCCAAGATCCACGAATCCCATCTCAAGCTGGCGGTAAGAATCCCAGGCCAAAGTCCATCTTGCAAGACACAGTGTAGCTGAAGAACCTAAAACCAACAGTGAAGTACAGAGCCTTCTCATACCCATAAGTACAACTCTTACTGAAGCATGGAAGCAGTACTCTGCACTTTCTGGGGAGCTGGTGATTCTTTTATGGTGTTTAATGTTTTTCATTCAACACTGATGGGGAAAGACTTGGGTTGTCAAAAAACCTTAGCACTCTACTGGGAAAAAGTTGCTTGTAAAATGGAAACGAGTAAGAGTGTATTTTGTGAGTATGCCTGTTTTGATGCATCACCAAATCTATCATTATCCTTTAGCTTAGGAAAGCAAGGAAAAGCAGTTGTCTGAACATGCTCGAGAAACCCTGTATACTCAGCATAAGTATGCATAAGCCTTCTAAGTTACAGCATATTACTAACACTTGAGTAACTACAGTCACTAAATCTTCTCTTGTCAAAACTTAAAATACTATGTGAAATAAATGTGATCTAGACTAAAAAGAATTGCTGACATATGCTCTCAATAATAAAAATGTAAAAAAAACCCAAACCCAACACTTAAGAAAACATGGAAGTATACCTACTGAAAGCATGCACATGAAAAAACAGACCTTTCTAATAACGATAGCAAATCTCAGCTATTGTAAGTTTCCCCATCCGCCATTTAAGCAACATTAATTTATAAATAAAGTAAATTTAAAAGAGTAGACTATATAAAATACACATCATATGTACATGTACAGATGAGGAACGAGCAAGTAATTAATAAACAATTAAGATAAAAATGCTTTTGCATTTAATGCAGTTATCTTCTAAACTACTGGATACTAGATAGAGAGAGGAAAAGATGGCGTGCTTTGAGAAATGACAACACTTCACAGTGGTCATGGGAGAAAAGTCTGAGAAACTGCTGAACAGTCACCTCCCCACAGAGGCAAAGACAAGAACCCCTGAGCTGAGCTGAGAGTGCTGAACAACCGCAATGGGACATGCTGACATCCCCCTTGAGCCTCAGGTTCCCACCACCTCAAAACACGTTCCTGCAGAACATGATTGGATTCCTGCCCAGCAGTCACCAAAACTGATACTTCTTTATATCTGCTAATGTTGCACAATTGTTCATGCCATAACATGGGGCTGTCCTATCATTAACTTGCCCAGATACTGACATGAGAAAGTAAAAGTAGAGCTAAGATTTATTATTTCCTGTGGTGATAGATACAGAAAAAAGTTTAAGTCAATGAAAGCCAAAGAAAATTTGAAAATAAATGCCAGCATTGTCTATCATAGATCAAGAAAGAAACAAACAACCCTACAGCCTAAACATCCATTTCAAATAAGCTAGTTCACTGATAGTATACCTAACTCTGGTAACATAATTTCCAAAAAATACAAGTAGGGACTCAAAGAGAAAGTGGACTGATACAAGAACAAGAGGGTTGGAGTGTGCATATATAGTGTTTTCAATTGCCTAGATAAGATCCCTGAGGAGAAAAGAAACAAAGAAGGAAAGAAGTCAAGTAAGTAATGTCATTCTAACTGTGCATGTTACACTAGACAGCCTTTCAAGATCAAGGGCCTTTTCTTCTCTGCCTTTCTATGCTTTGATGCACTCCAAAGGGTCAGTGCCTGTAGCAAGTTTTCCCAACTACACTTGTAAGCACCACAGTAGTTGAGAGCACAAGCCAAATAAATATTCCTACAAGCTACAAGTACAATTAAGGGACCTTCCTTAAAGCATGTCCCTCAACACAATGAGGTGTGAGACAATTTGAACAGTTACTATCCAATTCTACACATAAAGCGAGAACAAAAAATTATTTGGGGCTTCATACAGAATATGCCAGAACAGTTGAATGTCTTCCCTTGGATTTCACAAGTTTCTGGATCCAGCCTGCCTAAGTTTTCAATCTGGGGAGAAAGTTTCACTAAAGCTCCAGCCTGCTCACAAGAATAAGCTAGGACCACTGAGATAACCCCAACCAATTAATCACAGCCATGGGTCTGCATCACAAATTCACCATCAGTTAAGCATGGCCCTACACTTCTAAACTTGAGTAGGTGTTTTGCTGGGCATCAGGACTGTTGTTAGAATAATGGCTTTTAGTACTTATTCCACCTTAGCCTCAGTCCTCTGAGGCTGAGTTTTGGCAAGATGTAAAACTACATTTTGACTTCATTCAGATATCCTTCAGGAAACATTCACATCATTTACTGCGGTCAAAAAAAAAAATCTGTTTCTTGGAATAGTCTGCATTTGTCCTGATCACATCATACCTTTTTGTACAGCACAACACTTGTAACACTGAAGTCAGTTTAAGATAGCAAGAGAGAAGCTGAAAGCTGTTATCTTCAGACAAAGCAACAGAGTTACATAAAGGAACAAGAAAGAGATCAGTTGCAACAAAACCAAACAATGCCTCACAACATCTGTAAGCAACAGAAGATAAACTTAGATGATATGTACAAAACCTCTTTGGGAGACAAGGAAATGATGGCAGAAAGGAACTTACTTGATTTTACTGAAGACAATGTCAACATCTGTGATTGTCACATTCTTCCCATCTATCACATGACAGTCCTTACATAGCTTTGACCAGTTCTTCCCATGCATTTCTTTTCCTGTGGCTCTTGTATCACCATGGATGGCAAATTTTCTAAAGGCCTCTTCCAGAGCACTTATTTCTCCTGCCATAGCTCCCTCATGGGAGCTGTTTGAGTCATAGGATAATCGTTTTGCTGCTCGGTCCTTTGCCGGGTCTGAAGGAGACTTTGGAGGAGTCTTATTCACAGGTTTGGTTGACTTCACTTTATTGTCAGCCATTGTGCTACAAAAAAAGAGGAGGGTAAACTCATTACATTAATTTGCACTGGTTTACTTTCTGTTAAGCTACAGGCTACAGTCCATTCGACATCACAATGTATGAAGAATAAGTGGTCTATGAAGTTCGCAAGAACTCCATGCTCTCCATCATCAAACAGTGTTTACATAGAGCTATGTAACTCTCCACCCATGCAGAAAAAAATTCTAGCATATTTAAAAAAAAAAAAAAAAGCCGGGAAAGAACATTCTGAAATGGGGCACAAACCTAATTTCACTGTCATTACATCAGCCAACAAGAGGTCACCTAGTGTTTGCTGCTTGCTTTTTTTTTTTTAAATGGCAATCACAACAGTCACTGCACTGATTCGAATAAAAGTACACCCTTTACATTGTGGGCATTACTACCTACTTTTATTTCTGAAAGAAGAATAAACAGCCCTTTATTTTCTGGACTGTGGTTTTTTAATTATTTTTCATTGAAAAATAAAATATTTTGGAAGTGTAACAAAAATATTAGTGTTATAACCCTTATGTTATATAACAAGTAAGGAAGTGTCAGAAATGCTTACACAAGTCTCTCTTGTTAACAAAACCATTTCTTTTCTCAAGTTTATGCCCAAAGAAGCTGTGGAATCATTTAGAATAAACACATCCATGATGCAGGAGCACTGAGAAGGGATGTAATTACTGTAGAGAACAACTTTCAAATTATCCTATGTTCATGTAGCATAGGTTTGCCCTTTTTAAAAGAAACCTTAAAGTGAGCAACAGAACACTAAAGTTATTTTCAGGTGTCTTCGTAAAGAAAAAAAACTCTAACATGCCAGAAGCACGCCATAGAAGCCTTTGCCTTCTGCCCATTCACTCTTAGCTTGGCAGAAGCCTAGGGATAGGGTGCACTGTGTGCCTGTCCCAACAGCTACATGCAGACTGTTGCCCAAACTCACATCTGTGGTGCTGCTACAGATTTTAACCCAAAGAGAGGTGCTTCAAGTATCAGAATTTTGGCAAATACTGGATAAGGGCTGGAAAGCCCACCGTTCTTACCTCATCCATTCTTCTAAAGTCACAGCTTGTACATAGCATGTATTTCTAGTTAAGATTTTATTTCTGCATCAGATAGAAAGTTCTTTTGGCTTATACACTGTACTTCAATACCAACTCCTCAGCAACGGAAACAATTCTAAAATTCTACCTCCTCCGATATTGCTTAGCCTCTGTCACCTAACAACCAAGGCATACCCTTTCCTGCACACTGCAACAGAACTAACCATAACTACCTGCTATGCAGCAGTTAGTGTTAAGCTTCACGATTAGAAACAACATCTTAATAAAAACTATACTAAAGGACCTTTGTTCTTTACACTTGAGCAAATGCAGCACAGCCAAAGAACTACTGTCTATTTTGAAAACATTCAAGTAAATGTTTAAAAACCTTGCCTGAGCCTGAGGATCCTTTTGTTTTGTTTACACCGTCAGCACAAGTTTTGGCCAAACTAAAATACTACATTAAGATTAGTAAAACAAGAATTTACTAACTGTAGCCTGAGAGTTATATGTGCACCTATGAAATTGAAAGAAAAGCACGGGGGGGGGAAGAGTTTGAAAATGTAAAGTTCATTAAAAAGTTTAAAATGTAACCAATTCCCATTTCTATGTCCTTTGCACCCTGCCTGCTCTCCAAAGAACAGCAATTTTACCTCAACAAACTTTTCTGAAAGTCTCCCAACACTCAAACTCCAAAACAGTACGCACCCACAGTAAATTGTAAGCTACTACAAGTATTACAGATGTATATGTTCTTACCAAAATACTGTCTAGATCAGTCTATACTGTCTGATTCATCAGGCTACACACGTTCTTTTGCTACCAAAAGAGTGGTGTGAGAACACAAGAAGAAAACAAAAACAATGCTGACACAATCTATGCAAAACAGAATTACATTAAAAATCAGATCATGAAGATCTATGATCTACCTACATCTTGAAGAAAGATTTGACTTCCAAAAGCAGAAGTCTCTTTCAAGCTTACACTATTTCAAATCCACTGGAGCTGGAAACTAGAACCAGAAATTTTCCAAGCTAACACTAACTGGCAAAAGACAGGCAGAAAGACAGGCAGAAAGCAAACATCAGCAAAAAGCAAAGTGTGCATCTTAGTGTCTGCATAGGATATTAAAAACCAAAGTTACCTCTGTAAACAAGTAACAGGACAAAAGAAGGTGGAGATCTGCTTTACTAAGGAATGTAGAGCTCATACCATTTTGCAATCTTGCCTTGTGCCAAATAAACCTTCCAAGAGATTTTTCAGAGATAGCCCCCTCTTGCTTTTAATTACTCTGTCAAGAAGCTATACTCACTGTGAATATCCTTGAAAGATACAATTGCACAATTTACAGACTATAAGCAAGAAAACATCTGTGCCACTCTGTCTCATCTGAAATTAGAAAAAATAATTACATGTCTACTTTTTTAAGTGTCTCCTGAACAAAATCTTTCTTTAGCAAGTGGTACTGCCTTGGTGGCCAACTTTGCATAATCCTATGTCACCCATAACCGTAACTTAACTTTGGCCTTGAGAAAGATAGTTCACTTCTAGACTTAGTGCTCTCAGACATCAATAAATGAACTCTGTATTGGGGTGTTTTGAGTAGTTCTGAGTCAGAGGGCAACAGGACATATTCTATAGAAAAGTCTTCAGTTTTGAATGGTGAAATCTGGTATGCAAAGCAGATTAATTTCAAAGAAATCCTCATCATCTAAACTAGAAGGTCAAGGATAGATTAAAACTAGGGCTCTGCTGTGCTTGTTGAACCATAATTACAGTTTACGTGTTAAAATCCCATGTAATAGCATGAAATTTGCTAAGAAGTCGCCACCTGGTTTATGAAAATACAGACCTAGCTTCAACTTAAAATTCTGTTTCTTAACACTACAAACAACACACCCTGAAGAGAAATATATTCATTAATATACTATATTAGAAGGTAAAGAATTGCACAACACAGGTTATGAAATCAGGTTTTAAATGAAGTCAGCTCGTTTAACTTTTTTCAGTGATTAGAGACAAGGAAGGAGATCATGCCATGTTGAAGAAATGATCTCTCAGAGAAAAATACAGAATAACCTGTTTGCCAAAAATTCAAGACCAAATGCAGTTTTGAGTCTTCCTTACCCTTTTTTTCCCTGGACAAAGAGATCAGAAGGTGCTTGCTAGCTTCTGCTAGAAGTAAAAATTAGCAGTAATTTGGGGAGAGGCCACAGCAGGGTGATAGGTGGAAGTAACAAAAGGAAGTGACTACTCTAATATACCAATTCTAAAATTCAGTAAAACAAAATTAAGCCACTGTTCAAAAGCACAAGCTGTGTAGATGCCAACTATAACAATTACAGCTTCCCAAAGAAACACCTTTCATCACCATCCAAAAAGTCTAGTATGCATGCAATTAGATAATACTACCTTTCCAGAGCCAGCAGAGGGAAGGCAGGCAGGACTAGCCACCAATCCCATCCTTTCCAAATACTACTGTCTCTAACCTAGCAGGTCTACATCACCAAACGCAGCCATGTAAGGTAGATAAGGTATAAGTAGATCCTAGAGTTCAGAAGGCTTTGTGAAAAAACTGTCCCAAAGAACTGGAGCTCCAGAAATCCACAAAATATTTAGACAACTAGGTGTTGTGTTATGAATGGCTATAGCCTGTGTCATGTAATACTTCTTTAGCATCATGAAAAAACAGTTCTTGTTCCTTCTCTCACTCTGTAATAGGTAAGTAATACAGCACATTATAGAGATAGAGGTATCTATACAGACAGATTAAGGTAGGGATCAAACTGACTGAGGTCATGACTAACTCATGCTAAAATAGACTGAAAGTGCAGATCTGTGTTCTCAGCACACGCCCAACCCATTAGAAAAAGTTTTCTTGTATCATCAAACTTCCTTTCAGTCAGAGACTACAATACCTACTCATCTCGGACAGGCAGCTGGGAGAACTCCCCTAGATAAAGACACACATTAATCTGTATTCTTCCAAAAGTGATGGAAGAAGCAGTTATTGTTTCTGTGAATTCCAGTTGCCGATTCTCTATAGCTGCATGAATATCAGGTACATATAAATAAGCTCAAAGCCTCAGTACTTACCAACTGTCAGCTCTACTGAAAGATTTATACAAACTTAGACTCTGTCACTTATCCACATCCTCTCCAGGTATCAACATATTGCAGGAATTCTAGTATGGCTTTGACTTAGATTTGGAAGAATTGCTCTTAGAAGTAATCTTTCAGCACCGACAAGGAAGACCTGAAGATTTACTAAAACACAATTCCAGCAGCTTATGCAACTCCACAGAATATGCATGTATCCTACCTGGTCAGAATTCACTGCGGCACCCTCCCTGCCCTGTCCTGAGAACTGATGCATGGTTAATCTGCTCAGGAAGTGTAGACAGCTTAGTATTTGTAACAGTTAGTTAGTATTGCTGCCATGTCACAGACAGGGAAACCAAAGCAGAAGGATGAAGAAACATGTCTGTTCTGTTGCCAGAGCTCAGAACATAAAGAGGACCCTGGGATCTGTACTCTACACTGCTTTAATTATTAGGCCACATAGAGCAGATACATGATTGTATGGAGTGCTCTGAAGAACCAATGTTCTCCGACTCTGTGGAGGAAATATAAATACTAATCTTACTAGCTGCACAACTATTAACCCACTTTACGATCTTCACACCGAAAAATGCTTTTCCAAAAAAAAAAAAAAAAAAGAAAACCCAAACAAAACAGGAAATTATTAAAAGCGTAAATGCCTGGCTTTTTGGGCTACATCATGTACTTTCTCATCTGCCTTATCTAACTTGCCTTTAGCATGCTAGGAATATTCTGTTCAATATAAGTTGAATTGTTTTCATTTGCAGCAAGTATTACAAAACCAGTTTTTAATGGAAGTATTCTTGCAGTATTAACTGCCATGCAAATGAATAAGAGTGTATTTGTCTAAGAC